CTTTCCCTTCTGTGTCTTAAAGGGCACGGGGGCACCCATTTTATTTTCCACTCGACCATTTTTCCCTTTTATTCGTCCCCGTTTCAACCGAGAGTTCCGGTTGTTTGAACAACGGCGCGAATATTATTCCGCCGATTAAGCGCGATTTTTCCGGCTGGGAAGTGCCCTCCGCGATTTTCCTCGCGCAGTTTATCGGTATTTTTTCGAGAATATGTATGCATACAATGGTCCAGGACAAATGGCGTTTCCAAACTCTTCAATGCGAGATATCCTTGAGCCAACGTTTTCATTTGATATTTCAGCGCTCTTTAATTTTTCTCTCCGACAAATTGGAAGATCAAAATGATCTTATGTTACAGTGACGCGGGAGGATTCGGTAATGCGTAGTGCCACATTTCGTGAAAGTGTGCAAAATGCAGGCAATAACAATTTATAAGAATGCATTTATCTAAATGATTATCAAGATATTCTTGCTGAAACTTAATATTTTTTGGATTATTTTAAATATTAGAATACATATATTGTTATCTATTATATTCTAAGATCATAAAAAAAGAGAGAGAAAGGAGACTAATTATCATATATAATTATTATTATACAATATAACATAAAATTTTGCATTAATTTTTATTAATATAATTTAATCTTTTATCATAAAAGTAGAGAACTGTTTAAAAGATGATCTTCGCGTTGGAAACAAGGATACCGAAAAGCTCTTTAGCTTCGGAAAGATATATACAAGTGAAAATACTTTTATAGCATCTCGAAATGGCAAGAGGGATTCGAATAATTCAGCTGCTTGCTAAACCCCAGCTTTTGCCAAGTAACATAGAAATGGAAGGGGTTAATTTGCGAGTTTCGTAGGATCTTCTCTTGAGGGCTCGCCAAGCTTATTACAGTAAATAGCTTAGACGAGGGTGCCCCGTTCGGCCTCCTCTGTTCAGTTGGGCCTTTCATCTCGCAAAACTCATTTCTGCCTCTCTCTTTCTCTCTCTCTCTCTCTCTCCGCCACGGCCTAGAAGATACAGCGCGTAGAATCGTTATCACTTTATCAAAGTTGGACACGGTGCTCGTTCCGACAGAAGAAAGTGCTTTCAACCGACCGTATCGTTTATTAACGTTTTAACAGCCGCGCGCAACGTATATTGCATTAAGGTACGAGACACCGAGCCGATTAAACTGTTGCTGTGCCGAGTGAAAAAGATCGTTCCGCCGTGAACAACGCGAACGTGAAACGCGCCCGCCTCTACGACATATTTAAAGCGCTCCGCGGTAATAGGATAGCGACACGACGAAACGTAGATTGGAAATAAACCCTCTTAACCCCTGCTTTCCTCGAATAAATTCGTTGGAATTTATATTTGCTGGATATCCCCTAATTTGATATCTCACTAACCGTTTGCATACAAACATAGATTATTTACATAATTTAAACATAACATCAGAAAAGCAAAAATATCAAATATTAATTAAATACGAACTGTGATTGGCTTAATAAATCTTAAATATATGATTCTGCTAGTTTCGTATACGATAAAATTGTGTTTGTAATTCAAAAAAATTGAGTTAATATAGAGGTTCACATTATATAAGCGACGTTATATGAGTTGCAAGTTCCGTTAAATCATATCTCGCGGATTATTGGAGCGTGAATTTTTGGGAGTGAATTTTTGAGACTAGCACATCCGAAAGGACAGGTCGATGCGACGCTTATTGATTCGCCGGAGTCAGCTAAAATTCACTTTAAAGCGCGTTCTCTCGATCGGCAGTTCGCGATGCCATCGAACTATCTCTATCCAGGGAGATCGTGATTCGAATAGTAATCAGCAGACGCGGTACGTAAGCTACTAACATCTTCCATGTAAATAGACATGACTTCGCTCGTCCACGCACGTATGCATTCCCGCGATTGTGTGCTCGGTACACTCTCGCGATCCGCGAACGCGAGAGACGTATCCAGCCAGACGCGAGATTACATTTGCCGCAGTATGGGACGAGATATGTACGAGTTAGTCGACGGTATACACATACTTTTGAAACTTTGTTACAAGAATCGCACAGTCTTGACTGCATCATTCCGTGTTTCTTCATTTAAAATTTTTAGTACAAATTATATAAATATAACAGGCAAACGCATTTCTTTCTGCCAAAGTCTAATTGTTTCTTTTTTTTTTCGCCTAGAAAGATGTATCTCTCGCGAAATGATAGATAAGATAAATTGATATAAGATAGACCAGGATTTAGAAAAAATTATATAATGCATCATTTTTAATCGTCTTATTTATATATATTTGAAATATAATTTTGTATCTATCTTTGCATGCGCGAGAAATTTTTATGAGAATGTCGCCATTATACTTGTGAGAAAATCGAAATGATCTTTTCAGAAGGCATCGCGTACGAGTCACATGTTTCCATGGTGAATACCTTCCAAGAACGCATAACGCCGGAAATTGGTCCATACTTCGATACCACAATGTCCTCCAGCATCACTGGCTTGGCCGGAGATACTGTTGAACTGGGGTGCAGAGTAAAGAATCTCGGAAATAGAACGGTGAGTCTAAAATAAATTTTCTTTTTTATGAATACTATATCTTGTATAACATTATAATGCGGAGAGTGAGGTGTGAAAGAAGAACAAATTGAAGACACACAATCAAATAATATAATTACAATCGGAATTGATGCGATAAATTGCACATCCTGTCACAGCATATTGGAATTACTGCTTACCACATAATTACGTTTCTCTCAGAGAGCAAATCTTAAGCCTTACAAGTAGCAACTCAAATTTCGACACGGGATATCGGCAGGTGAACACAACCACTGACACGCCGCGAGCAACGCGAGATAGGCTTGCCCGAATTAATGCAAGAGATTCGGGAACGCGGAGGTGGGTAGCATCGACAACATTATCGAGATGCCGAGCAAACTGTATCTCCCGTTTGCGAAGTTAACCGGTAGATTACAGGACGAAGATATAACGAATGTTGCGAATGATGTTGTTTACATCGCAATTTGTTGACACAAAAAAAGAGAACGAGGAAACAGCGGAATCTCTCGCGAATTAACTAGAAACAAAACATCTGCTCTATTATTTCAGTTATGTAATTATCGCTGCAATTCCCGTAATACTGCAAACATCAGGATTTCAAATTTGTCTTGGACTTTCATCGTTAATTAAGTTAAGCCGGCTTCGTCATTCGCGCAGTAGGACAAATTTTTTCGCTTTCGCGGTTAAATCAGTGGCTTCTAGTAGGTCGGTAAATTAATTTGAGGACGGACAAGATCCTCGGAGCATTTATCTTCCACTCTAGGATCTTCGGGTGTCCTCGACTTCGAATATCAACGGTTTGTGGCACTATTTGAGGATTATCGCAGCGGTTAAGTAGAAAAGGGCGATCTTTGTCAGACTACGTCTTCAAAGACGGGCTCGGTTCGGAGTTTTAATCCCGGGGCTCATCTCTATGCAAAGCTTGATCTTTGCATTTATGTTAGCCGCAGCTACGTGTGTAACGACTAATATATTTCAATATCGTGATTTTATCTGTAAAGATGCGAGCGCGCAAGTTAATATATTAAAAAAGTAATACGAGTTTCAATTGCACGTTTTATTAAATGGGTGACATTAACGATACGATATCATATTAATATCACGCCTTTACTGCTGAAATATATGCGGGCGCATCTATACACACGCACACATATAAACGCGCATGAATTAGTGTCGCGAGGGAATGTCGGTGGAATTGCGGTTGCTCGGTTGGATGAAATTACACGAGTCTCCTAACTCGTATGGAAACGCTAGGATATGAAGAAGTCGAAAACGATGAAGTTACGTGAAAAAAGTAGCATCGCGGCAGCGGCGGCGGTTTGCCACGAAGAGAGAAGTGGCAAGAATAAGCGCCACTTTAGAGATGATATTAACTCTGAAAAAGTCGGTTCCGCGCGTATGCAAAAAGATTCGAGAAAGGAGGAGCAGCAATCGCCGTTATGGCACAGCCACGGTGTGTTCATGGATTTTATCTATTCGCATATTTTTACCGAAGCCGTGTTCTTCTCTTTCTCATGCACGTGCGCGCGCAAACGCGTATTGTACATTTTATTACGAGAAAAAGTTTCCTCACGAAACACCGGCAACCGGATAGACGATTGTGTTTCTTTTTGCGGAAAGCATATTAACTGCAACATCGGAACATTCAAGCAATAATCGTATTAAACCGGGGGCTCTTGCAGTTTATATTTCCGATTATATTCAAGCGCAAATGCGCATCGTGAGTTTCGACCTAGATTCGATCAACACCGCGATGATTTATCGGGCGACATATTACAATGCAGCGTGGAAAGTATCATTACACGCCGTTTCCATAAGTATTAATTAAATTAATAAAGCTTTAACCGAGTCTCTATATATTGAAAAGGATAGACATTCACTTACATCACGTAGATAACATTAATGAACGGGAATGACCCTCTGAAACATTTTGAATGCAGATATTTAGACAAAGTTATATTATACTAAATATTAAATGAATTACACAAATTAGTATACAATAATATGAATTTACAGAGATAAGGTTAATTAACTAGAACTGAAATTATCTGCTTCCCTGGTTAGTTTTGCATAAATAAATGCTGGATATCTCTCGCGATGCGAAAATCAGACGATATTGTTTCCGGTTTAACCATTGGGAGATATTACAGCAGGTACGGTTTAATGAATATTACTATGGTTCTCATTAAAATCGCATAGATATGCCCGAACTACGTGCACAGTTTGAAGACTTGTGTAATGTGTTAAATGATAGTATTAGGAAAAACCATTGAAGTTATTAAAGTGCCGGGTTCGTCGTTACGGCGCAATTTCCGACACGTGAGGGAATTGCACTGATTATGGATGTTATGACAGCTCCGAATCATCGGTTGGATTCTGCTCTAATTAACGGCTTCGAGAACTTTCCAGCATCATCCGAACTTGGCAAATGTCACTTTGCACTCTCCTTTACTCGTATAAAGTTCGTCCGTGTTATCGTTATCGGATCGCTCTAACGACATAATCTCGTAGAGATCGACACTCTCAGATATATTTTGACAGAATTGTTAATAGTTTAATTTAATATAATTTAATCATTTTTAAATTATGTAATTACTATATTTCACATGTTTTTCATACGATTAAGCGTGTAATGTCTTTTATAACTTCTAGTAACAGCTAAATAGACTAATTTGCCGTGCCTATTCGCTTATAAATAATAGCAAAGTACGGGAGTCGTCGTTACGCGCGGAGATTGTAGTCATACATCATGGGGTTATATAGCATTAAACAAAGACATGAAGTATTCCAGCTGTGGCAAATCTACTGCACTCGTAAATTTCTCGGGGCTAGAAAAGGGAGAGTATAAAGTTTTATCGTCCAATCTTACGAGCAACAGGGCGCGAGGAGCGATGATAGTTAGCAATACGCGCGCGCCTCGCGGTAACTCAAGATTTCTGCATTTAGATTGTAGAAATCCCGACATATTTTTGCTAATCTGTTGTTAGATACTGTAATATGTACGTATGTAATAATAACATATCCGTAATTATTACAGTTGCTTCTGTACTTTTGTGACGGTACAAAAGAATCTAAAATGATATTATATTTTGAAGATGAAGTATTTTTAAAGGTATTAATTAAAAATCCATGTGGTTCATTACTTGTTTTAGATTTCGTGGATAAGGCATCGTGATATCCATTTGCTGACAGTTGGTACTTACACTTACACGAGCGATCAGCGTTTCGAGGCGATGCATAATAAACTCCATACAGATGAATGGATCCTCATAATACGATATCCACAGCGAAAGGATTCTGGTATCTACGAGTGCCAAATATCTACCACTCCGCCCATCGGTCATCCTGTTCACCTCATTATAGTTGGTAAGTCATGACTGCATTATAGAAAATGCCAGAACGAGCGTTAATTTCAACGATAATAGAGATGTATGAGAATTTGCATCGTAATTCAGCGGTTATCTGTTTTGATGAATATAGTGACTCATTTATCGTCAGAATAAATTTTAAATAACGTTTTAGTGTAAAATTGCTGGCTGCGCTAAACTAATATTCATGATAAACACTGATTAAATAATGACTATATCATTAGATATTTGTGCAAATAAAAAGAAGAACACCAATAAGTAAAAAAGGATATTATTAATTTGCCTAAAGTATTTCCTGCATTTGCAAAAAAAAAATTGATTTAATTTTCTTTAAATAATTTATGCAAATGATATAATATTCTTGCATCATCTCCCAGCGATAGGAATATCTCTAAAATGGTTAAAATAATTTAATTACATGATTATAAACGTCTCTAGCATAGATCGAGAAATCTAAAAAAGCATCGAAGAAATTAAATTACGTATCGAAGATCAAACGCATACATTATTGATAAAGGCTTGCAAAATCTCCGAATAGCTATTTTATTTAATTTCGCGATTTAGAAATCCGTGTTCCATTCTACGCGTATCTATAAATTTATCATTATTAATCTAATATATTGCGACGACCGTTGTGAGTTTTTCTCATCGAGACCAGTCATATCTGAATAATTCAAACGACGTGAAAGTGGTCGGGGAAAAAAAAACGCAGAATCTCGTAACTTTTGATTCAAACTTTGCTAGCCATTTTAAGTGGTGAAAAGAGTAAAAGGCCGTGGCACGCGGCGGAAGTTACAAGTTAGTAGGCCTCGTGGGAACCGCCAGACGATCGAAAGAATTATAAATCAATGCGGGAAAGTTGCTCCGAGAAAAATTACTAGCGACGCGTGTAACAGTCGAACGTGGACATTGTCCACGATCTATGAGATCGAACAATCGCACTCATGCGTGCGTAACATGCGAGAAAAGTAAAAGTTTTACAATTCGTAAAAAGAAGAATGTACGTTTTGGGATATATATATATATATATATATATATGATGAGAAAAAGCAGATAAAAACTATTTTATTCATACATGCGTTATATATTAATTTTCTAGATGGAACTTTTTCGAAAAGAATGGAATTTACATTCTCTCTTTCTCCAAAGAGATTTCTTTTTATTAAAATATTAAAAAAGTAATTATGCAAAATAATTTCTTGAATAAAACCGGAAAATGTTTATTTTGAAAAATTTTAGAATATCACAAAGAGTTTATGTTTTGCGATTAAGGTACTATCGGAAAGAGTAAATACTATATGAAAATATGAAAATACGAAAATATGAAAATATGAAAATACTATAATATATATATATATATGATGAGAAAAAGCAGATAAAAACTATTTTATTCATACATGCGTTATATATTAATTTTCTAGATGGAACTTTTTCGAAAAGAATGGAATTTACATTCTCTCTTTCTCCAAAGAGATTTCTTTTTATTAAAATATTAAAAAAGTAATTATGCAAAATAATTTCTTGAATAAAACCGGAAAATGTTTATTTTGAAAAATTTTAGAATATCACAAAGAGTTTATGTTTTGCGATTAAGGTACTATCGGAAAGAGTAAATACTATATGAAAATATGAAAATACGAAAATATGAAAATACTATATGAAAGAGTAAAAAAGTTGTTTAAAAAACGATTCAATTTAACAAAGAAATGATCAATATTTTCGCGTTTTGTGTGAATGATGGACAAATTAAATAATGAACATTTTTTCTGTAACATCTGATTCTCTTTGATAGGTATGAAATAAATCTGCCGAAATTCTTGATCAAGATTTTTTTGGTTCGTCAAACCTCAAGTTAGAAAGTTCGCGATTGGTCTTCGAGGGAAAACGTTGTCAGAGACCAACGAGCGTTTCACGAACACGAGTCACGAAAGTGTCCAATTATCGCCAGGCTAATGAAGTCTTTTCCCTGAGAAAAGAGGGTGGACTCAAGAGAGACGAATCGATGGCTACTTTGCCAATGTACTTTCTTCTTGTGTCTATCTACCATCCATCACAATGCTTCTCTAGTTTCTTCTCTTCTCCTCGTCAGTCCAAGCTTGTCATTTTCTTATTCCCTCAAATTTTCAGTGTTTTCCAACTTTTGTAGAAAAATATTTTTCGTTTTTTCTAACTTTTTCAACAGTATTTCGTGATTTAACAACAATGATGTTAATTGTACACTTTACATAACATCAAACTCAAAAGGCGAATTCAACAAAAACAGATAATTTTCATTTTTCTTTTTTTTTTTTTTTTTTTTTTTTTTTTGGATAGCCATATTATTTTAAAATCCGAGAAAATTGAAAGCTCTCTCTCTGATATTTCTCAAATAAAAAAGAGTTTTTTTAAGTTTCCGCAGTTTCCCGGTCAATTCTGTAATTTCTCTCATTATCTCTATTAATCTCGAGAAAATAACATCTAAAGTTAATCGCAGGATAGCCAGGAGTAACTGCTTAATTATCCACACTAGTTTCTGCACATATAAATATTTAAACATAGGATACGTCTGCAATATAACGGCAATAATATGATCCAAAAAGAAGGATATATTGCGTTCGACTGATTGATCGAGGTGACGCGATAAAGCTCTTACTCTGTCTTCGTCCATTTAATAAAGACGCCAAGCGAACCAGACGACGCGGGGCGGATCGAAAAACAATAGTCGACCTTTCAGCGGCATTCTTGGCACGCGATGTCCGTGAAATTGTGGGGACAAATTGAGCCTTTCCGGGAGCGAACGATTCTTCTTCAACATTGCGCTCGTTCGCCGTTTCATCGCGATTCGCACCGACTGCCTGAAAAGGGACCGATCTCGCTTCCTTTTCGCGAGTCTTTTTTAAGTGCTTCGTCTTTCTTTCCCTTTTCGCCCTCCGGATCGCGTCGATGCTTCTCTGTCGCGATTGATGTCGTCGAAAGCTACGTCGTTTGACTTGAAAGCTCGATTTTTAAACGGTTCGACGTTTACCGTGAGAGGCAATGGGTAAAGACCGTGTCGAAGACTGCGAATGCTTGTCGAAAAATTCAAGAAAATTCCAATCGTGCTTACATCAATATTTTACGGCGCGATCTAAGTTATTTTCACAAAACAATAAAATCACGCGCATATTTATTTTGCATATTTCGTTATTGTAATTTTTTAATAGAATTGAAACACAATTTCAGAAAAAATAATATTTTTATACAAAATTTACAAAATAATTATTCTTTAAATTATTTCTGAAAATAATCAATTCCGAACACTGAAATGCGATCCTGTCTTTTCGATTAGTAATATCAATTTTTCTCAACATTGTTCCTAGAGTTCGATCTTTAACTTGAATCTTCTTAATAGCATGAGAAGAAGACGATATTTGTTCATTTTGACAATCTCCTTTAATTACATGCGAGCGCGAGCGCGCCCGCTTCTATCATTTCTGTTATCGTTATCGGTCGCATGATGATCTATATGCTGAACAGGCTCTCCGTATCTCCGTATCTAGGCAGGAAATGGTTCGTTACGGATGCGAGCGTTGTGCCGTTTATCGATGTTAACAGCCAGAAAGTCGTCTTTGTTGCCGACCACCTTTTTCGCAGTGGTATTATCTTCCTTTTATCTCGGAGTCACTGTTCTTCTTTATCTTCCTCTCTATTTTTTGTTTTTTTTTTCCGCGCTTCATTTCATTGCCATCTAGAAGGGCAATAAAAGACATGAAAGTTTTATCTTTTCATTTGCTTCTTTCCTTCTCTCTCTCTCTTTCTCTTTTCTTTCGAGTTCTTTCTATTAGACCGCAAGATCGTTTAATGACCAAACACAGACACTTGACACAAAATACTACGAGCAGTGCTTTTGCTAAAATAGCTTTAATAATTTGCCCGATCCATAAATGAGTTATTTACATCCAGATCCGGTCTAATTCTAATTAAATCGTCGTCAAGTATCGACTTGAACAGAGTGGGATGTTCATTTTGCGAAAGAGGAGAGACGAGTGTCGCAGTGTTTGCAATTTGCTCTCGTTACGTCGATTGAACGACTGCCATCTTGCAACGAACGCGCCGGCGAAAGGCTTAATGAATGAATCATTTACATCAAGAGTCACTGCAACGTCTATCGTTCGTCTATTGTCGACACATCTCGCTCATTAATACGATTGTTTTCATCTCCTTTTCTTTTGAGCTTTTCCTTTGGCGATTTTTCTAAATGGTTCTTAATCAATTGCGAGGTCTGTAGCGTGTGATAATTCAAAGTTAATTACAATCAATGATTCGTAACAAATCATCATTAATATATGATCGATTATTTATTTTATCGTAGGATAAAATATGTAATTCTTCGTAAGCCTTTTTAATTTAATTTATTCTACTTGAAGTATTTTCCTGGCCGCAGTCATTTTCGCGAGTCACTCAACATATTGTAGAGTCTTCTATTTAATTCTTTCTCTTTTCGCGGAGCTTGAATTTAATTAGAGGTACTATTTTTATCATGAGCTTCCAGTCTACTATTGCGCGTCTTTTAGCGTTCATACGCTTCAGAAGTGAAAATAATTCAAATAATTCGAGACGAAAATACTACCAACTATCGTCAAGAATGGAAACGAAATAACATCTATTTTGCTTAAAGTCCTGTACAAAAGTCATAAAATTTCGAAAATTTCACCAAACAATTGCACTATTCTTTTTCTGCGCTATACAACTCAGGGGCAATGATACATCGAGCATCGTCTCTCGTTTCGACTTTTATCCAAGTTTGGACGTTGCGTTCACCTTCTTCTCTCGGCACCGGCGAGGCAATATAGCACTTTCGCCGTGAATCAATTTCGCGGCCGTCACGTACTCGGTCAAGTCGTTTCTCATTGACGTTAGAGGAAGTAAGAGAAAAAGGAGTTTCGAAATGTGGAGGAAGGTCTCGGCGAGACTAGCGGGCAGTCCGTAGTTTTCGTTTGTCGCAAACGTGCATCGAAAGTTAAACCATGCAGATGCAGC